GATAAATCCAGCACAAAGCTAACAGGAACCAACTACCTGCCTCTGCTCATAAACTGCCTACTAACTGCCCACCAATTGCCTACTGCTTGACCTACTACTTGCCTACTGATTGCTTACTGATTGCCTACTGAATTGCCTACTGCTTGCCCACTACTTGCCTACTGATTGTCTACTAATCACCTACTGATTGCCTACTAATTGCCTACTACTTGCCTACTGATTGCCTACTGATTGCCCACTGATTGCCCACTGATTGCCTACTGATCACCCACTGATTGCCTACTGATTGCCTACTGATTGCCCACTCTAAAATAATTTTAAATTTTTTATAGTATTTCTCTCTCAAGTAAAATTTAAAATTTATTTTAATATTTCATTCAATTTAATATTATAAAAGAAATTTCAAATTTTTCTTGTTCACTAAATCTGAAAGAAAATTTATAATTTTACTATAGGAAAAACTTTAAATTATGTTTTAAATTATTTTCTCCATTTATTTAAAGATTTTACAAATAGGGAAATGTTAAATTTAATTTCTAGTTTTTGTATAATGAAAATTTTAAATTCTGTTCAGAGTTTCTGCCAACCAAAAATGGTAAACTAAATTACAAATAATGTTTATCATTATGTAAGTTATTTCTTAAGGCAAGAAATTGTGAAATGCCCCATGTGACATAGCTTGCCATACAATAATAAAGTAACTGTACTTGCCTTCATAAGAGTTTTAAAACACTCCCTAGTATCACAAGACTAAAATAGCAAATATATTAGGTTAACAGGACTGTCTTAGAGGATGCTAGCTTCTTAACAAGAGTGGTACAATCATTCAAACATGTAACAACAAAAAAGAGGTAATTCTGTCAATATTATAGAGGGAAATTGTAATTGAAAAGGTTCAACATATGTTTTAATATATAAAAAGGTGTATATTAAGTGGAAAAATAGTACAGAGGTTTTGTATGTGTCTAAACAAAAAGGTGGTTGAAGTCACCTGCCTCATTTGGCAGGTGGTAAGGTGGAAAAAAAAAACAATGCAACTCTCATAGTTTTCTAGAAACACTGTATTGGATGACTATGTCTTGTTGTATACTCTATCACTTAGAGTACTCATTAATACACAGTTAGGTAGTAATGAAGATGAACCAATAGTGTTAGTAATTAGAGATACCTCACTTTGGTCAGCAAAACAGGAAATTTCCAACATACAAAACTGTGGCATGACTCATGAGTACTAAATTACTCATCAGTAAGAAAGCATCTTGTAACAGAGTGATAAAAGCTGTCCAGGAAGTAACATAGGATTTTGTTCATTATGAATCCTTAGACCCTAAACCTTTTGGCTCTTTGTTCAATCTATCAGATTGTGGGCTAACAACACTTAATATTATTCAAGCCAGCTTTGCAAACACTGAACTTGCATTTCTTTCTGCCTGCCACACTATAGGACAGTACATTCAACAAAACCCTTCACCTTGCCACAGCCATACAGTTCTCTGGTTTTCAAAATGTGATTGGATCAATGTAGGAACTGCTTAACAAGGATGGGCCAGCATTAGCTGGAGCTGTTTATGAATACATAAACAACTGTGAGAATAGCAAAGTGAAGTACAAGAGGGCAGCCAGAGGGTCTTTGGAGGGCAGCTTTGAAGCTGAAGGCTCAGGATGGGATTCAGGCTGAACAATAGGTTAATCTTGTGCATATAGGTGCTTAACTTGTGTTGTGATAAAAAGAAGGTCTGTAATACATAAATATTTTCCTATATATTAAACATCTGTAAGTTTCTCAATATGTCTTGATATAACAATGCACAACTGTTTTGTCAGCATCTATTCTGCCAATCCAGCTCACCAACTTCTCACACCAAGTATTAAATGCATAACTTAATACAAGTATGAGAAAGAAAGAAGGAATATGGTGCACCACATACATTGTAACAATTAAGCTGGGGATACATGAAGCTACTATCTTCACTCACTGTATTGACACAAAAAGGTGCAAGAAAGTGCTAAATGTTTTATTTTTATTTTTATGAGCAACTATTGTATTCTCCTAACACACCATACCATACCATACCATACCAGGACGTGTGGTATACTACATATGTACAATGTACAATAAATACCTTGAATAAACCAAACAAATAAAGCAAGATACTACAATCATGCTTTAGGCATGGTGGTTTTCTTCTACTCTTTGAGCATTGCAATACACTAAATAGCAAGAATCAGTGAACAACTCAGATAGAAAACATAGTGTGAAATAGACTGTTCACCTGCTTTTGTTTCTCCTTCTGTCTTGCCATCTCAACAGCCTTCTCCTCCTTCATCATTGGGGCAGCAATGGGTGTTCCAGGTATGGAGCTAGCAGCAGGAGATACAGCCCAAGGTGGAGATACAGTCATATTTGGTGACAAAGACTTTTCTGGGAGAGTAGAAGGTGACTTTGCTTGTATAGGTGGCGATTTTGATTTTTGTAGAGAATTTGTAGAGGTTGTGAGTGCTGATGGATGAGATCGTGTTGGTTGTAGTGTATGAAGGTCACCTCCCCATGCATCTTCTAGGGTATCATTATTACTAGTCCTGTCGTCCATCACCCCTCAATCATCCATTTCTAACGTGGTCACCATTTTATCAACTGGAAACCAAATGAAACGAAACACCACATACCATCAACTGAAAGTGTGGGAGTAGAGAACACAGGTGTCTCATCAAACCCAAGTGTTGATGCAGCAGCAGAAGCGTTCTTTGCTAGTCCACTCTCAAATGCAGTCCAATCGTCTGTATCAGCATTTATGTCCATGAGTCTAAGCCAGCAATTTCTGCTGCTGAACATTTTGTCGTACCTAACTGCATACTGTGCCCCTTTATTATTGAGGAGGAAGGTGCTCCTGGAGACGAGAACTTTGACGAAGAAGGCGTTTTGACACTCAAAGGACCTGCACCAGTAGACATGGAAGTCAACCCATTGAGAGTTGGGGAAGGTGATATGGAGCCTGGGCGGTCTGGTGTTGACATTGTCATCGTACTTTGAAGATCTCTAGAGGTAAGCTAAATGAATCCAATTAAGAATAATGGCAGTGTAGGTTTTTCGAATTACATACCTTCTTAGTGAGAGAAGACTTGGCCCATCCGGCTAATGCGCTTGCAGCATTGGAAGTAGAGTTCACTAGAGCATTCTGACCTGCATGTACTGGTAAAATGACGTTTGGTTGGCCATTCGCATTCAGAGCAGTCTCGGGCTATGTACGGAAGTTAGATCCCTAGTTGATCTATCAGCTATAATTAAGAACTACACCATCGATGCTTCATGAGATTCCATTTTCTTGATAAAGAGGGTCCATGGCTTTAAATGCCTGGTCTCGCACTATCCTACACCCGTAATCAGAATATACCATAATACTGGAAATTAACACCACAGGACCTACTTCTCTTTGTCGATCAACGGAAATGAAATGCATGGAATGCCCTTCGTCGCTAGACCCTCAGCATCAAAACAATCAATCATTATCATGAACGCCATAAGTCCAGCTACTCGTGCCTGTACGGATAGATCTTTGAACGCTCGTACGAAGGCTGGGACGAGCACCTCTTTCTTCGTGTTATAACCTAGCGAAGGTCCCAATCGACCAATGAGAATGCATACGTTTGTCCGTATCGCGGATTCTGGATCTGATTGCATCTTTGCGAGGTGTCGAAGGAGGTCGCAGTTGAGTATCCTGTCGTTGAACCATGCAGTACATAAGCGGGGGCTTAATGAGAGTATAATACTCGATCAAAATACCTTAGGGTAACAATTCACGTCAATCAAGCACCAATGTGCACCATGTTAACCCATCGCTCTGTTGTGACGCCATCCCGCCCTCGCAATGCCATAACAGCTTGACGAAGCGCAGCTGCAGACCGCTTGTGGATCACTTCACCGTCCTCATAATCTCCCATGTATGAATAAACCTCTCGAGCAAGCAAAGGACCATCCGGATCGTACATTTCCCACATTGTCCCAATCACGCTTCGGAAACCACTAAATTGCACGGCAGCAGCTAGATGGAGGACTTCATCGTCTGCACCAAATACGTCCTGTTCGGCGGTATGGCAAGCAGAGAGGAATGCAAACTCGGCATTCGGAAGGTTGGCTCGGATGATATCGAGCAGTGTCAATCCACCGTCCGACAGTTTGAAAGAAGAGTCAAGCGACCCCGATGCCAATAATCCGTGACAAGCAAAATGAATCCATGTGACGTCTTGCAAGCCTTTTATAATTGTGTTGCGAAGCGCCTCCTTATTGATGTGTATTCTATAAGATGAGACGTAGCTCCGTGTGTTGTTCCGAACAGCGAGAATTTCGGCCTTAGTCGATTTAAGAGTCTTCGTGTCGCCAACGATAAGCATCTTGGGATTACTCGCATTTTCCCTGAATCGGGCATTGATGAGTGCTCCAAGATTCGGGGTATATGATGACACGTAGTCGTCCAGTAAATACTTCACAGTGCCATCCGCATCCTCAAATGGACCTGCAGCGTGGAAGGGAAGAGCTGAGAGCACAGATGTAGGGCACCACCAAATACGCGACCCCTCAGTAACCCCTAGCTCCTTAAGTTTCCTGACGACCTTGGAGACGACCCTGTCCCACAGCATCCTCATCACCCGTCGAAGTACCTCGTCGTATTTTGGTGAGAAAACTTTAAGACTATCTCGTGTCTCCAAGAGCTCGGTGCACAAATTAATGCTATCCTTGTCAAATTCTCCATCAAGCGGAACACAGACGACAGGCAGGTCCTCACGAGAGAGGATAATGAGCACATCGGATCGATATTCGCTATGATTGACCACAATTACCGGCCCCTCTGAAGCTACACGCCGGAGCCCTCTAAAGGGTGTGGCTATAAGGAAGCTCTCGAACCCAGGGATCCGTCGTATTTCCTCAATAAGCTCTTCCTGCTTGCTAGAGAGTTTCCTCTTCAGTTTCAGCCTCTCCTCAGACAAAATCCGTTCTCCATATATGTCCAGTGCAGATAACCCGCTTCCAGCTGTGCCTGAACTATACTGCAATACACTGAATGATGTTACAAGGTTCTCCAGCTGCCGACTAACATTCGTGAATCTCTCAGCGAGCCCACTATTCGTTTTTGCAAGGTCATCTAGAGGCGCCCTAAAACCACGCATCTGCGACCAGAGTAGACCTCTTCCTTGCTCAAGGATCTCTATTGCTTCTTCGAGCCTATTCTCCTCTACGGCATAGGCCACTGCGTCTGATGTGAGCGTTGCGGAGTTGCCTTTTCTGCTGAGGAAATCGTGTTGTGCATGAAGAGTAGGACTAATGATGAGGACACGCTGTAGAAGCAGCATCGCTACCTTGTAAGCTCTGGATGTGGTATGGTGACCATGATTTCGAGCAAATCTAGCCCATTGACCGGCGATCTCGAGACGTACCGCCAAGCTTGAAAACTCATGTTTGACAGCACATTCGAGTGATTTCATACACTCTTCAAAATCGACCTTAAGCCCGAACTTCGTGAATCGCGAGAGTAGCGAAAAAGCCAAGTTTGCTAGCGATGCAGAATGTTCGGGATGACCATTGGGCCGAAGCTTCAAGCTGGCACGATGAAGCTTGACAGCTTCATCGAGGTCCGCAGTCTGTCCGTGATGTTCAAACCGAATTGCAAGGGAATTTGCAAGGTTACTGAGAGACGCGGATCGACCGGGATGGCCGTCGGGGTGAAGTTGCAGAGCAGCATGATGAAGTTCCATAGCCTCATCAAGGTCCGCAGTCTGTCCGTGTTGTTCAAATCGAGTCCGAAGAGAATCCGCAAGGTTATTCAGGGACGTGGAGCGATTGGGATGGCCATCGGGAAGAAGTTGCGAGGCAGCACGATGAAGCTTGACAGCCTCATCGAGGTCCGCCAACTGTCCGTGCTGTTTAAATCGAATCTGAAGGGAGTTTGCAAGGCTATTCAGGGACGTGGAACGATTGGGATGGCCGTGGGGACGAAGTTGCAAGGCAGCACGATGAAGCTCGATGGCCTCGTCGAAGTCCACTGTCTGTCCGTGCTGTTCAAATCGTCTTGCAAGGGAATTTGCGAGATTATTCAGACATGCGGAACGATTGGGATGGCCAATGGGGTGAAGTTGCAGGGCAGCACGATGAAGCTCGATGGCCTCGTCGAGGTCTGCAATCTGTCCGTGCTGTTCAAATCGTCTGGCAAGGGAATTTGCAAGATTATCCAAGAACATGAAACGATCGGGGTGGCCGTCGGGGTGAAGTTGCATGGCAGTACGATGAAGCTTAATGGCTTCATTGAGGTCTGCAATCTGTCCGTGCTGTTCAAATCGATTTGCAAGGGAAGTCGCAAGGTTATTCAGGGACGTGGAATGATCGGGATGGCCGTCCGGGCGAAGTTGTAGGGCAGTATGATAATACTCGATGGCCTCATCGAGGTCCACAATCTGTCCGTGTCGTTCAAATCGAGTCCAAAGGGTGATCGCAAGGTTATTTAGGGACGTGGAACGACCGGGATGGCCGTCGGGGAGAAGCAGCATAGCAGCACGATTCAGCTTGATGGCCTCTTCAAGGTCTGCGATCTGTCTGTGCTGTTGAAATCGGGTATGAAGGGCGCTCGCGAGGTTATTCAGGGATGTGGAACGATCGGGATGGCCGTTGGGGTGAAGTTGCAAGGCAGCACAATGAAGCTTGATGGCCTCCTCGAGGTCTGCAGTCTGCCCGTAATGTTCAAATCGAATCCGAAGGGAAGTCGCAAGGTTATTCAGGGACGAGCAGCGGTTGGGGTGGACGTCGGGGCGAAGTTGCAAGGCAGCACGATGACGCTTGACCGCCTCATCAAGGTCTGCGGTCTGTCCGTAATGTTCAAATCTGATCCGAAGGGAACTCGCAAGGTTATTCAGGGACTCGGAACGATCGGGGTGGCCATCAGGGCAAAGTTGTAGCGCAGCACGACTCAGCTTAATGGCCTCCTCGAGATCTGCAGTTTGCCGGTGCTGTTCAAATCGAGTCCGAAGGGAAATCGCAAGGGTAATCAGGGGCGCGAAACGGCCAGGGTGGTCAGTGGGGTGAAGTTGCGAGGCAGCACGACCCAGCTCGACGGCCTCATCGAGGTCCGCGGTCTGTCCGTGTTGTTCAAATCGTCTTGCAAGGCAGCCTGCAAGGTTATTCAGGGACGCAAAACGATTGGGATGGTCGTTGGGTTGAAGTTGCAGGGAAACACGATGGAGCTCGATGGCCTCATCGAGATCCGCGGTCTGTCTGGACTGTTTAAATCGAGTGCAAATGGAATTGGCAAGGCTATTCAGGGACAAGGATCGGTCTGGATGGCCGTCGGGGTGAGCTTTCAGGGCAGCACGATTCAGCTCGATGGACTCCCGTAGGTCTTCGATTCTCCCGTATTGTTTAAATCGCTCGTGAAGAAACACACCAAGGCGTCCCAAGAATATCCCATGGAAGTCTAGCAATTCCCTAGGATAAATTCCAAGCGCAATGCGACCATGAAAAATAGCATTGTCAAGTTCTCCTCGTTCCCTCGTTTCCTCGAAGCGCTTCCAGTGGTGCATGCTCAGTCGACCAAGTACAGCACAAACCGTTTTGAGGTCTATGTATAACTCCATTCTAACGCGGAGTCGCAGTGAATCTTGATGCTCTTTGGGCCGGCTGCGTGTTCAGTGAGGAGGGAAGAAAGCAAGCTGCAAGGGATATGGTATCTGAGATGTCCCTTTGTACTTGAAGCCTGCCCGCACTGTCTGCTGTCCTCTGAGCAGATGGTTCTCCTCAGACCTAAGAATGTTCTTTTCAATCAATCATTTACGCCAAAGTATATACCTGAAGAGACCAACTTACTGTACAAGAAAAGGATAAACGACTAACGTTTCTGACTACTAGAAGCTAGAATGCAGGTTTTAGTCTCGAGTACAACGGTAGGGCTGGGGGCGGAAGGCAGAGGTTATATATCGTCCTGGTGACCTGGCCTGGGAACACGTTGAAGCTGTGATAATTTTGATGCTTAGACGGCGCAGGGTTGTACAACAAAACGGGATAAGTAGAAGGATCCACTCATTGCCTGATTTGGTATACGCTGATCTTTGCGTACTTTTGTTATGCACAGTCCTCGTCAACAACAGTGCACTGCTTCATGCTTCCCAGCTTGCGTTACAAAGTAAAGTGGATTAAAGGTCTAGAAGGATACAATAGAGTCATATGCTAACTTGTCGATAAGGATTGCATGAAAGGATCGGCCAGAGCCGCCAGACCGTGCTTTCAAGAAGTCACATGATGAATCGGAGTATGCTTGTTTTTATTTCTTCCTCTTAGCGTTTTACCTCTTTCCAAAGTTTATTGTTATTTGATTCAAATCCAGGTCCACCAACTTCATCAAACCGACGTTGCCTGCCTACTCACATCTAAATTTTTTCACAGCACCGCAGTCGCAACAAGTTTGAACACATGTTGCAGTGTCTTGACTCTTACCACACACACAGAGCACAAAGCAGGGCCATCAATCTCAGTTTAGAGGATGCACTCGCTTCAATCACAACACAATGCCCAAGGATAACTGACTCCACTGTAGTTCGAAAGTTGAAGACACTACGAAAGGTGCAAATGGTGTTATTCGGTTCCCTCCACTGTCTTCGTTCCTGCCGCCGTTGCCTCCAAAGAAAGCCATAGACAATGCCGGAAGTGAGAAGGCAATGCTGTGGGGATGCAGAGGAGAGTTTGATGAGTTTGAATGTTTTGCATGAGGGCAAAAATTCGATTTTAAAGGATCAGTGAGCTGACGAAAAGGAAAGGTATTTTTATATTGTTTCATTTCACTTCAAAAATGTCGGACCCAAGAATTAGTTGTCCTTAGATCTCAGGATCCTATTTGGCTCCTCCGTTTATCTGTTTTCTAATCCTGCTCAGATTTCTCCTTTTATCCCTTTGTATACCCTGCCGGATGAGTCGAGTCTCTTTCCCTACCTGAACCTATGCATGTCCTCTAACAACCTTCGGAACATAACTATAGGGAAACGAGGAAGGAAGTCAGCAAACAAATCAAAATTGTTGGTTGTAAACAAATGTGGACCAGAAAACACGCGGATGGGAAACCGAGAATAATATTTATGGTATAAATGACACGCACGGTTCCTCGAGGTACTTGATCTCATCCTCAGTAAGCTCTTTTCCTGTTATAATAGACGCCTCTAACCGCTCAGGCTAGCGAAAGCAAAAATAAAGATTCAGTACACTCGTCCCGAAGAACGAAGAACGAAAGTAAGGACATCGACTCACAGAACTAATCCCCACTATAGGACTAGATACCTTGCTGTTAATCCACGCCAGCGCAGTCTGCGCCATCGTCCAGCCTCTCTTATTTGCCACTTCTTCTACGCGCTCTATGATTGCCTTGTCTGCTTCCGAGTACTTCGTATCTCTGGATTCTCTCCGGGTCGTGGAAGTACTGATCGGTGCTGCAAGGGAGCCTGCTTGGAGAGGACCCCAAGGGATGAGTCCGATCCCGTGGGCTTTGCAGTATGGTATCATCTCGCGCTCCTGTAGCATGAAACCCATTTTAATATCGCATCCTTTCATTTATCTTTGAAGAATAATGAACTATGGAAGAAGAAACGCACCTCCTCACGGTAAAGCAACGAATACTCGTTTTGCATACTAATAAACTTTGTCCATCCGTTCTTCTCCGCAACGTGGTTAAGCTCTGAGAACTGCCATGCACGCATCGAGCTTGCGCCAATGTACCGAACTTTTCCCGATTGGACAAGGTCATGAAGCGCTTTCATCGTCTCTTCCGGTGGTGTATTCGGATCATAACGATGAATCTAATAATCAATGGCAATGTAACCATTAATAACGTTTTATTAGCGAGAAGACAGGCGCATACCTGAAGCAAGTCGATATAACTTGTTCCGAGCCTCTCAAGCGAATCTTCCACCTGATTAAATATCGCCGCACGGCTGAGTCCACTCTGATTCACATAATCCCTCGTATTCTTCAACTCCGGATACAAAATCGTCCTAGTCCCCGGATCTTCATGCACCAGACTATAACACTTGGTGAAAATCAACACTCTATGTCTCGGGATCTGATACTGCTTGAGGAATTTCCCAATAATGCGTTCAGAGTAACCGTTAGAGTAGACGTTAGCCGTGTCGATAGTAGTGACTCCACGATCCCAAGCAGCCTTGAGTAAAGGGAGCGCTTCGTCTTCGTTGATTACCCATGGAAGCCACTTCGAGGAGCCAAAAGACATAGCACCCAGGATGGGTACGGAGACGCGTAGACCCGAGTTACCGAGTCGGCGATACTCAACGGGAGGCTGCGTCGTTTCTGTCTTTCCTGTCGACATAGTCGTAGTCGTTTGCAAGAGACGAGACGGGAATGAATAATCGACAATGGCGTGATAGCGGGGGTAATAGTAATACTACTCGTGCTTTGTACTCATGCTTCCGATGTATTATTAGGTTGTAGGATAAGGACCGGGCCGACGACAAGGATTGAATAGTATTTTGATAGCGGATTTTGGCGGACAACGTACATCAATATGACGCCTATTTGAGTCGAGCATGTTTATTTCCGTGTTCAATTCAAACATTAACAATGCCCACCAATCGTAAGTCCAAGAATAACCAGAGCAATATCAATGCCATAAACAAATAACAAAGCAGTGAGTTAGTTCGATAGACGTTACAGTATTGCAAAAAATGGAGAACGAATCCACTATTACTAACATTAACGTTAAGGGAGTTTAGATGCTATGACAGCCCAGCCTTCGCAAACCAATTCTTCTGCTGCCCACATGTCGCATTCGTGCATCCCGGACAGCGAAGCATCATTTGCACGCTTGCAGGCTCGATCCTCCCCGCAGAGTAGTCTTTCAGGTGTTTATTGACGATATCGGCGAGTGCACGGATGAACACAGGCGAATCGTTAAGTGACTCGGCTCGGTGTACTTCCATTCCGAGCTGCATAAATCAGATCCAATGCCAATGAGAAAAGATTCGTACAAAAAAGTGTTGCATTAAGTACTTACCTCCTCAGCCTCCTTCCCGTACTCCAAATCAAGTTCATAAAGCGTCTCGATATGGTCACTCGTAAATGCGATTGGGATAAGGACTACATCCTTCCTCCCAAGCCTTGCAAGTCCCTTTAATGCATCGCTCGTTTGAGGGCCCATCCATGCTCTTGGCCCGACCTGGCTCTGCCAAACAAGTCGATACGGATTGGAGTGTCCCAGTCGATCCATGACGTGCGAGACCGTCGCGCTTACTTCCGAGACGTACGGATCCCCGCGATTGACGATGGTCATGGGAAGAGAATGTGCGGAGAAGAGAAGAACTGCATCTTTCCGCCTGTCAGGAGGGAACCGTTGAAGTGCTGCTTCAACGCGTTGCGCAACTGCGTCGACAAACCCAGGATGCGTTCCCCATCGGTCTATAACGCTCCATTCCACACCAGAGCCAGCCACACCTGACCTCCCGAGCCGGTAAATCTCATTAAGGCTGCTCCCCGTCGTACTACAACTATATTGCGGGTACTGCGTGAACGCAACCGCCCTCTTCACTCCATCCTTCTTCAATTCCTTGCACGTTTTGCTCGTCAAAGGGTTTGCATACCGGAACGCAACGTAACTCTTATGCGGAGCAGTCTCGGGCGAGAGCTCGTCAAGTAACGAGCACATAGCTTCACCCTGTTGTTGGGTATACCGTAAGATAGGCGATCCACCACCAATAGCAGTGTATTGCTCTTCGATCTTTGGAGTGCGTCTTTTTGCGATTATTGGTGCGAGAACTCGTTGAAAGGGGAGCGGGATGAGGTCTCTATCGAGGAAAAGATTTTTGAGAAAATCATGGACTTCAGGAATCTAACATAGGGCCATAAGCGAAATCCCTAAATCTGAGACAGGGCAGAACAGGGATTAACACGCACCGTTGAAGGACCACCCATGTTAAGCATTACCACCGCTGTTGTTCAGACGTGCTCAACATTTGAACAATACGTGAGTTTTTACCACAAACGTACCTGTTGGCCTAGCAAAGAGTCAACAAATGTTCCCTTCGTTTAGAAATCTGGTCAACTCACGGTTTGCCCGACACATTATGTACGGAAGCATATGACCGGCCCAACGCTCTTAAAGCCGTCCTTGCAGAATTCATACCAGTATTGTTCTGTTGAACACGTTGTGGACGCCAAGGGAAAGAGAATGAGATCGAGCACCACTTGTCTTTGGCGTTATATAAGGTCGACTGCTCGTTGGACAGCCATCGACTCGACGGACGAATTACACGATGGCGGGAGAGTAGGCGTGGTCCAATTATATTATTCCAATTATTTCGTAATCGTGGGAGTATTCAGTTGTAGTCGTGAGAACGTCTCTTCTTGCGACGCACTGAGTGAAGCGGACTCAGCAGAGCATTGAGACAATGAGACTGTGGACCTGTGGTACGTCCGACTTCCGTTAGAGCCTTTAGTTTTGCGTCATCATAATTTTATTGGGAAAATACCTACTATGCAGATTACGGTCTCCATGGGAATTATCAAAGATGCTATCAACTTTGCTTCCACTCCGTTATGGACTTACGGTAGCATTGATTGGTCCGACAGCTAGTATTGGCTATGCAGTACCTCGAGCAAATTCCAGTGTAACTGTATGGACCTTACAGTGATGCAGTGATCACCAATTTTGTCGCCATGTCTACATTGATGAATAGCAATGTCAGCATTGGCTATACGACATCTTTTACGTACCTCCTAAAGGCGCATTGTGGCAAATTCTGCACTTCAGTTAGAACCATCATTGCATTTCTTCATCTCTTACTGCATTCAATCGGCACGTATAAGAAGCACCATCCCATGACGCTTCATCTCCTCCAAGTCCAAATCATAGACAGCAACACTATAGTGATACATCTCAGCTACATGTCAGTCGGCCTTTCCTATCTATCCTAGATTTATGCTATGCTAATTTACTATAATAACTGCTCTATGTCTTTAGAACCAAGCAACTCAAAACCACATGTCATCAGGTTACGGAGGGAATGCTTATGGAGGGAACCATAACCAGCAGCACAACAATAATGATACTGAAATGACCAATGCGCAGTATACCTCATCCCCTGTTCAGTACGCAGAAGAACCAGACAGTCTTCGTGATAGCGACTGGGATTTGTCTGAGAGCGACATAACTGGAGCCGGTGGGATTTTCGATGGTATCGGTGGTCCCGGTACTGTGCGCTATGGTAACATTAAACCTACAGACCCTAAGGCTGCTGCAGAGAAGAAAAAGTCGTTCCAAGTACAGAGACAGTCGGGGACTTCTGAGAAAAAACGCTCTAGTACTGGTGGGAGCAAGGAGAAGAGAAAGTCAACTGTAATGACCCGCCCTCTTTCAACAGCCGAGAAAATGGGGCAAAAGAAAAAGTGAAACTGATCTACACAGCAGTTAATAGAAGACAGAGTAACTCTTGCAAGAATGGTAATATAAAGATTCTTAACATCCTTCCTTTGCTTAGCAAAGGTCTATGTTACTAGAGAATAATCAATGTTTTGTCCTATTAAAATGTAGCTACAAAAAATAATAATATGATAATACAAATAAACCTAGTTATCAGAATAATCTAGCTAAAAAGTGGAACAGACTAGTGAGAGAGAAACATATGACTAATACAATACTCACAGTAAGGTTCTTATAAAGTTTACATTAGATTTGCTTAGTTGCCTACATTGTACTAATGAGAGAAATAATGTTCAGATTTACTTTTAGTAGTATAAGGCAAGACTATTATAGTGTGTAATGTATTAAAATTATATTTATATTAGTAATTATAGTTATGAAGTAATTCTTACATAATATATAGTATTTGTTCTTCTTGTAATAATATAAGAAAAAGGTCAGAAATGAAAGAAAAACAAAATATATTTTACAAGTCAAGACTAATAACTACTGTATTTTGTAATACTATTTTTACTTATAATATTTAGTAGTATAAAGCTAATTTTAGACTTAGTTACATTTAAGTAAATATAGTTAGTATAAAATTTACTTCTAAATTATTAGTATTAGTTAGTACAAACATTAAGATTATATATAGTAATATTTTATTCCTTTAAGAGTATATTATAATAATAATAATACTAATAAAATTTATCAGAAACTATTATTATATTATTTGTTAGTTACTACAATTAAATTAAAGTATGAAAAGGACACAATAAAGATAAATCTTAAATACATATTAATTAAACTTTTCCAATTAAATTATTAATATAATTTGACTATTCTATAGCTATATTTTGTTTACAAACAAAGTAGTATATTTATTTGACTCTACTAATAATTAAATAGTCACAAACTTTTATTTAAATATATATATATATATATATAACAGTTAAAATATTTGAATTCTTTAAGTAATACTTTATTATATAATATAAACTCTGGAAATAAGGTAGATTGGATAAATGGTTTTAATAATAATAATCCAGAGAAAAGTAATAAAATAAGTGTACATTCAAAGTAGAGAAGCTAGAGTACAAATACAAAAGTCAGAAACAAGTAGCTAAAATAATCTCTTATATTGTGTTAATGTTGTTAATACTAATTATATTGTTGAAAGACAGAAAGAGTAGAAACAGAAAAGATAATATAAATACTGTTAGATAGCTTTTGTCAGTAACAGTGTAGAGGGGACCTAAAGGCTCAGCAAGGGGACCCAGGTTACAACTATCCTATACAACAGAAATACAGAACACAAGTATTAGAACATAGTCAGAACTTACAGAACAGACAGAGAGAGGGAGTGAGACAAGAGTAGAGTATATAGAGTGAGTCTAAGAGTACAGGATTACCTAGAGTAGACAAGATCAAGACTACAGGACTAGTCTGATCTTGTACACTTATATATACTAAACTATATAAGAGTACTCAGAGAGTATAAGCTACTAAGAATGATAAGCTATGAAGAATGAAAGAAGGGAAGGTCAAAGATAAAGGTATAAAGAATGAAGGGATGAACAAAGGGTAAGAGACTATAGAATGAACAAAGAAAGAAGGGGTGGTCAAAAGAATGGAATAATAAAGTAAGGAAGGGTAGTAGTAAGAGTCAGTATGTATATAGTCTATAAACAGTATCTCTGAGGGATGGAAGTCCTAAGTTCTAGTACAGAAGGGTGTAGAACCCTCAGAACTGAAGGTGTAAGAGTAGAGAACTGTAACATTACCCCTCCTCTAAAACCAATTGTCCTAATTAGTAAACATTAGGCTTAATTAGTAGTTCAGGCATAGGTCAGAATAGTAGGGTTTAGAAATCTGTAAGGTGGAGTTGACACAGAGCACCCAGATAAAGTTGATAGAGTCTCAGATTGTCTTAGTAGTATGAGTAAGATTCTCAGCAGGTTCCTAAGTGTGTTCCTCAACTAAGTATCTCTTCTAGTAGATAAGGAACTTGAGCTTTCTACACACTAGCTTAGTATCTACTACATACTCTACTTTATATTCTGGTTCAGAACTGATGAGTTTTAGTAGAGGCAGTAAGAGTCTTTGTTGTGAAGGAAAACTAGGATTATAGTACTAAGACAACAGAACCTTGTTAAACACTGAGTGTATGTGCTTCTATATTACTAGTAGTTGGAGTTTGTAGACAGAGGTACTAACCTTCTTTTTAATGACAAAGGGTCTGAAGTGCTTGTTGTCCAACTTCTTCATTAGACAATCTAAGGTCAGATTAGTAGCTTCTAGTATAACCTTGTTACTAGACTGGTAATCCTTAGCTATAGACCTCTTCCAATCATAGTTCTACTTTATAACCTATACTACCTTTTCTAAAAGAGCTTATGTGTCCTCTCTAGTCCTGTGTATCTGTTTTATAAAGTCTGTTACAGATTCAGAACTACTGTTCTAGTTTGGAACTGTCCTCTAGTATGAATGTCTCTTATGATTAAGGAAGAACAGGGACTGTCCTGTTATAGAGTGTTACTAGTTATTATACACAAATTCTGTCAGAACTAACTATTCAGACTAATCTGATTGTTGATAATTAATGAACATTCAGAGGTAGAGCTCAATCTCCTGATTGACTCACTCAGTTTGACTGTTAGTCTGTAGGTAATATGTAGTAGAAGGGTTCTCTTAAATTCTGAGAAGTGTATACAAGTCCTGTATGAATTTCAACTTGAATTACAGTCTATAATTATGAATAAGCTTCTAAGAGAGTCTGTACAACTAGAAGACATAATCCTAATAAATGTACACTATACTTTTAGAAGTGAGTTCTATTCAGGTTGGAACTGTATAGACTTGTTTAGAGAATCAGTTAACAATTACACAGATAGTGTTGTAACCCTAAGACTCAGATAGCTTACTAATCAGGTTTACTGAGACTTCTTCCTAAGAGTAATCTAGAATCTAATACAAATGTAGGAGAGTCTGAACCCTTGTCTAGTAGACTTTAGTCTGTTAGTATGTATTATAACTAGTTACATACTTTAGGATTTCTCTCTACATTCCTAACTACTAGTAGTTCTGAGTAATGAGTTCCTGTATTTTGTGTTAGTCTAAATGTTCTACAGTTGAATTATTATGATGAGCTTAGACAATGTCCTCCTACAGCTTCTGATCTTTCAGAACATACAGTCAGCCTTTCTAGTAAACCTATCTATCCTTATCCTTCTTCTAATCCCTAACCTACTTCTTTAGCTACTTTACCACAACCTAGTCCTGTATGTGTCTTAGAGCTTACTATATACAGGTGATAAAGTTAACATTCTCAGATTCAAGTCAGATCTCTTAGATTGTCTTAGACACAAAATAGGAATTGTTTAGAAGAATGAGATTTTCATTATCATTCTCCCCCCTTTTATAACCTACTTGTCTTAAGAGTAAATTAGCTTTTATTATTTGTGTTCCAGGTTTGTAGGTTAGTACAAAGTCATAGTTTTATAGTTCTAACATCTAGTAGGCTTAGTAGTAGTTAAGCTTCTGAGGCACTTAGAAGTACTAGAGATTAAAGTAATTACTCTAAATCTTAAACTTCTGTACAGTACTAAGGAGATATTAATGTTACTCCTCTAGGGAACAGACAATTGTAAGGAGTTCCTTATTATAAATAGGGTAGTTCTGTTCTGTTACAGAGAGGGATTCTGATTAGAACACTATCAGACACTACTTTCTGTTAATAAACTAGGACAGTACTACTCTATTTATAAAGTCAGAAGAGTCAGCTTTAACTTAGAACTTGTTTACAACTGTCAGAACTACTAATACAGACTTACTAGTAATAGTCTGCTTGAGAGACTCAAACACAGACTGTTACTAATCATTCTATTACTAAGGAACATCTTTACTGGTGAGATTGTGAAGGGGCCAGGTAATAGTACTAAAGTCTTAAATAAAGTATTAGTAGTAGTTTACAAACTCAAGGAATGCTTGGACCTGTTTCAGGTTCTAAGGTTGTAACCAGTTCTGAACTATAGTTACCTTTACTAGATTCATACAGACCTCTCCTCTACTGATTACAAAGCCTAGATAATTTACTGACTCTTATACAAAAGAGTACTTTGCTTCTTAGAGAAACAGTTTATTATCTTAGAACTGTTGTAGAACCACTCAGATTAGTTAGTAATAGTGCTTGACTGTCTAGGTAAAGATCAGAATGTTGTCTAGATACATACTAACATACTCTAAGTTAATCAGATCTGTAAGAATGTAATTTATGAATGACTAGAACATTGTAAGCAAGTTAGTTAGTCTGAAAAACATTATAGTCAGTTTGTACAATCTACAATTGGTTCAGAACACAGCCTTCTACTCATCTCTGTCTCAGATTCAAATATTATTGTATCCTTATTAAATATCCAACTTAGTAAAAACCCTAGATGTATACATCTTATTAATAAGCTCTTAAATCAGGAGGAGTAGGTACTTGTTTTTAACAGTACCCTTATTAAGACAATAATAATCCTAAACTGAGTAGAGCTTCCTATCTTTCTTTTTAACAAAGAAGAAAGGGGAGGTTATAAGAGACTTTAAGGGTTAGATCTAACTGTTCTAAAGATTTTCCTGAAGGAACTCATCAAGCACCTCCTACTTGTCTCTGTTAAGTAGGTAGACCTTACAATCCTTAGGTTGGAAACTCTCAGTCAACTCAATTGTATAGTCCTAAAGACAGTATTTAGGAAGCTAGTCAAATTCCTCTTTACTAAAGACTTTAGAGAACTCTCAGACAAAATCTGGCAGGCTGAGTTTATGTACATTCTAGAGTAGAGTTGTTCTAAGAGGGTTCTAAACTAGTTCTGTCTCAGACATCCTTCAGATTAACTCTGTTCCACCTTAACTAGAATATGTGTCTACATATTTATCTTAGTCAAAGAAGAACAACTGGTTACCTTTATCAGAACTGTTAGTAACATTAGAAGTGTCTGTATCTACTTAGAACAGTAGTACAAGGTAGCTGTAAGACTCAGAACACTAATCAAACATGAGTGTCTACTCTAACTAGTTAATAGTAGGGTTGTAAGCTTTAAGCCATTCAAATCTGATAAAGATGTCTGTCTTTCTAAGGTTAGTAACTCTGAACTTAATACTTTCCTCATAATCCTAAATAGTCATTCATAGTTGGACAAACTTAGTAATCCAACTATTCTGGTTTAGGGTTCTGTCTGTATTGTATACTAGGATTGAAAGTAGAATGTGTTAATTAGAGAGGTAGTGTTCCTATACAAAGGCCTTATTAATACACAAACTAGTGTATTTACTGTCTACCAGAACTATTGTTTAGATCTGAAAGGATTCTAAGAAGAGAGCTAAGAGGATAGGGACTTAGAGCTAGTACTTAGAATATTCTCTAATAAACTACTACTTGTTCTAAAGGGAACATACAGTTTATACAGTCTTATTGTCTGAGAGGGTACATATATATACTAACATTTCCTCATTAACCTCTCTCTTTCAACAAGGACAGACCTATGTCCTTAACTGTAAACTCAGCTAAGACTATCCCTACTTAATACTATGAACAAACTACTAAGTAGTAAACAGGGCTAGGTAGTGTTCTAAACATTCTAAGATCTTAGAACATGAAAGTAGTAAGTCAGATTGTGTAGATTTAGACTTAGATAAAGTGTGAAGAGAAGAATCAAAAGAATCAGAAGAAATAAGAGAACTATCTACTTTTGTTTTTAACTTTTTTCTTTCTAATAAATAATTTTGTTAATTTACTTTTTCTACTTTTTCTGCTTTTCTTACTTTATTTACTTCTAATCCTATAGTGTTCATTAAATCAAAAGTAGCTATTAAAAAATCTGAGTCATAGCTCTTTAGTACTACATTCACTGTTGAGCCTCTACAAAATCCTAGAGTATATAGTCAGAGTCTAAAAGTTCTAAGGTGACTTCCAGATTTGTAGAAAAGGCTTCTTACTATAAATCCTACTCATTACTCATTATTACTCTAATAACCTAACAGATATACTGTTACTTCTATAGACAGTCCTTAATCTAGTGTTCTAACTTTCTGTAGGTAAAGTATGCTCCTCACTTTTGAGCTTCTCTAATGTTCATTAGAATAGATTGATTACAAATTACAGGTAGATCAATCTGAGAGTCTAGAACTGTCAGAGCTAAACATATGTGTGAACATTCTATACAGACTTAATACATCTGAGTCACAGCTTGGTTGAAGGAAATGGTGCACATCTTCTACTTAGTGTAAGTGACTAGTTCTAGCATTATTCTAAGAATCTTATTAACTAGTTCTGAGTGAAGAGCTTTTTCAAGTATTCTAATAAGAACATTATCAAACCTAAGTATGAATCCTACCTTCTAGGCTAGGATATCAAACTCCTGAAAGAAAGTGTTAGTAGAACATTTGCCCTGTTATAGAGACACAAGCTTGTTCTATACATTGTGCTTCTTATTCAGATTAATAAAGGAAGTACAGAGCTGCCCTATAAATTCTAAATATGACTCATTGTTCTAAAGTCAGATCAGGCTTCTGATCTGATAGCCTTCAATCCAGTTCTAGGCTCAGGTGGCTGTGTTACCTTCCTTTATGAAGGAGAGGACAAATAGGACACAATCAAGGTTTAAGAATAGGTTAGTCAAAGTAGTAGCTACATATAGTTCAACTTAGTACTAGAAGTCCTTAAAGTACTATCTATTAAAGTCTAAAGGGTAAGCTATATACACTTTCTTTCTAGAACAGGTTGTAACTTCTAAAACAATTGGAACAGGTTCTAAAGGGGCTGAGAGCACATAGTTGGTAAAGGCCTCTTAGATAAAGGTCTACACATATTAAGTTAGGTCTACTCATAACTACTGATCTAACAGGACAGTAGGGGTGGCAGTTGGTGTAGGAGAGTCTATGTTTACACTATAAAGGAATCAGCACTAAACTAAAAGGGGTAATGAATAGAAGAAGGGTAGCAAAAGTTTAAAAGGGTTTAGAAAGTTTAAAATTTAAAAATGTAAAAGGGTTGAGACAAAGAAAAGAGATTAATGTAACAGTGAGTACTAATGCTCAAAATGTAGGAGAGTTGTAGAGTAGTAATGAGGAGTCTTAATCTGATGTCAGTAACAGTGTAGAGGGGACCCAAAGACTTAGCAAGGGGACCTAGGCTACAACTATCCTACACAACAGAAATATAGAACACAAGTACTAGAACATAGTCAGAACTTACAGAACAGACAGAGAGAGGGAGTGAGACAAGAGTAGAGTATATAGAGTAAGCCTAAGAGTACAGGATTATCTAGAGTAGACAAGATCAAGACTATAGGACCAGTCTGATCTTGTACACCTATATATACTAAACTACACAAGAGTACTCAGGGAGCATGAGCTACTAAGAATGATAAGCTATGAAGAATGAAAGAAGGGAAGGTCAAAGATAAAGGTATAAAGAATGAAGGGATGAACAAAGGGTAAGAGACTATAGAATGAACAAAGAAAGAAGGGGTGGTCAAAGGAATGGAATGATGAAGTAAGGAAGGGTAGTAGTAAGAGTCAGCATGTATATAGTCCATAGACAGTGCTCCTGAGGGACAGAAGTCCCAAGTTCTAGTACAGAAGGGTGTAGAACCCTTAGAACTGAAGGTGCAAGAGCAGAGAACTGTAACAGCTTTAGTCTCTTATAAGACTATAATTATACTTAAGTTATAAACTGATATTAAGTTATAAGTACTAAAACATTTAGTACAATTACTCAAATGTATTAGTATTAGTATATCTAATATTATAGTTGACCAAGCTATAGTAGCTATTTTACTGTTGAAAAAGTTATTTTACTTAAAATATATATAGTACTAGAATAATCTTTATAATAGAGAGTTTGAAATTGTGTATAACATACTCAATTTGCATTAGAACTAATAACTTTGTATCACATACTTGAACTTTTCTATAAAGGATAGCAATTTTGCACAGACTCAGAGACTATTACATAAGTAACTTGACTTTTTCCTATCCTAGTTAATGTAAGTATTACTTTGCTGAAAGTTGTTAATATTGCTCTGTAACATTGCATACCTTCTAAGGCTGCAATGTGGCATTACTTTCTCTAATAGACTCTGGGTCTGACAAATTGTCTTCCTACTCATCACTACTACAGTTAATCAAGCTATAAACTGTAACAACCTTACATATTTCCTAGCTGTAAAGTATAATATGGTCCTGTAATCTATTATATTCCTGTCTCTTGAGCAAAGATATGTGGCCACAATGCAACTTCTGCTTTGCTTGTGCAAATGCTTTCCATATTGTGTGCCAAGTGAGCATATGAGTAGTATTTTGGATCCTATAAAAGCACTATGAATTGCTGTTCAGTATCTTCAGCTTTAGACTGCAGACAGTATCATTACAGACACAGATCCCAAGTACATATCAGTAAGTCTGCATTACTACCAAATTATTCTATGCTCACAGGAGTCATTTGACAACCGTCACATCTGTAGAACAATCAACTTACAATGTCGGGAAATAATGAAGGAAATGTAGAACGTCATGAGGGCGATTTTACATCAGAGCCTCGTGACTTAGACTCCCCTCCTACTCCTAGTGATACTTCGATGCCCGATGTTCCATCTAGTGATTGGAGGACACGTAAGTTCAGAGTAGAGAAACCAAAGCACAAGGACGAGAGCAAGAGAAACGCAGAGGAGATAGCTTCTCGTTTTGTATCACAATCATCGACACCAAACACAACCTCAGGACACAGAAAGAGCAAGAGCAAGGATAAAAAATCACTCGAGTAAGTTTCCTGACCTGTATCATCATCACTGAACGAGAGCGATTGAAACTGGTCTGGCACTGCAGCTAACGTACAACTGTTCTGTTGTAAAGAAATGAAGATTCTTTTATAACCTTCTTTTCTTTTTCAGAACCCTGATTATGCAAGTGTGTTAGTATAATCCATGTTTATCATTCATACTATATAGCCCTGAATGAACTGCACGTTGGTATGAATAAATTACCAGTCATCAGAAATAATTGGACAGTAAGGATTGTATCTGATGGACGCATGTTGCATACTCCTTGAGAATCTGAGAATCACTAAGTATTACATAATTACGCAAAGTCGAGAACTCAGGAGTCAGAAGTTCTCAGAACCTGGAAGTCACAAACCCTATTCTTTTCCAACATTCTCGAATCCAAGTTCAGTCTCAAGCCATATACTAACGCTTCCCGGATCATATTCGAATTCTGCCTTCTATGCAGACATCGATTATCAAGATCCTCATGTAACGAAAATGAGCATAAATACATTTGATGCATTCGGTCCATTGGATGACCTTATCCAAGTCATTTACCAGGGATCGTTCCGCTTCGTCTTGCTCTCGCGCGTCGACTTTGACTCGCTTCTTCCTAGTTGGAAAATCCATATTGGGCTGGCAGACAAAGGGAGATGGTGGCAGGGGAAGTGGGAAGAAGGAGATGTTGATGCTTTCGTCGTGAGCTGCTCCTGATTTCGGTTGAGGAATTGTTCGATTAACTCTTTCGTATGTCTCATCGCATGTCAAAATATATGAAGGGAAAGAATGTATCAGGCGATTTACTCGAGGCATTTGCGGACAATATTGCAAAGACTGTGACACAGGGTGAACTTTTCGTGGGCGATATTGAGGCTGGTGCCCAGCCGGGAATGGTTGTCAAAGTACGGTAGGCCGAACCACTAATATTTTGTTTCTTAACCAAAAAGCCAGAATTCCTTGTTGACTTACATCATTTCGTTGTCTATAGATGATATTTGGCCCAAATGGGACGAGGCCGCTAGCAATACCTCTAAATGAAATGACTCAAGAAGACGCTGCTATATTCGTGATAAATGAGTTCTTTATCGTGCGTTTCGCTCCTTTGCGTTTGGGGTACAAAATTACCATACTAATGTGCCCTCTCTTACAGCTCGGATTAAGCGCACAAAAACGAAAATGCAAGTTGAATCCTCCTACGTTTCCGTCATATTCAAGTGCGCCTAAACCAGTTGCCACTGGTCGTGGACCCGAGGATCAACTTCGCCCGCGACACTCTCCTCCGTCTACTCCAGTAAAGAGTAAGGTTGTTACCACTCTTTGTAGCCAATGTTTACTTAGCTACTCTAGGGAAAGTTTCAATCTCTCCGCCAACCAGACCACCGCAAAACCTACACCTATTGGGGCCCGAGCAGGATAGCAGTCCGCCACGGAAAATCGAGACGGAAATGACGCCTGGTAGGTCACCTTCATTTCTTTGCGATGTTTCCAGTCAATCAATGGGTCCTTCTAGGTCCAACTCTTGCTTCCCTTCCAAAGGCAGAAACATCAAATACAAATGCAAAACTAAAACCACAAGTCGTGCCGGTTAAGAAGAAGGCTCGGAAAGTGCAACGGATGGAGTTTGCCAGCGACGAGGAATAAACGATAATGAGTAGGAGATAAGGATGGATCGCGTTACGTTGGAATGTAAAGGGTCAAAGAGGTAAAGGAGAGTCATCGTCGAGTTTATTCATCCTTCTTATTAAATACAACATTCTTTCATATCAAAATTATGTCCGGCTGATATCACGAGATTGCTGATACAATATCCATTGATACTACTAGTATCTATAGGCTATAGTAGGCCGTGATCATCCAGCTCAGGCATTTCTTTCGGTTGGTTATTTTGGACGCTGCCACGCCTCTGCATATTGTGTTCCCAATCTGCGTCCTCATCATACTGCTGAACACTCTTGAGAACGCTCCAGTTCGATCTATTGCCGAGATCGCTCTTGTTGAACGTTACTCTTGCAAGACCTTGCCCTTGTGATTGTTGATATTCGCCCGCAGGAGCACTATTTGCAACTTCAAGGGAATGTTACTGGGTTTCAGAAAGGATGATAGAAATGAGGTATACCAATAGCTTCTACACCATCATTCGTCTTTCTCCAATACAGATCATAGCCTTGGCCAGGGCGATGGGTGTTTAGCTCTGCAAGCCAGAAAGCACGATATGAGCACATATTCTAGATTGATCAAGACGAACTACAAACCAGTCTTCAACTTGTCATATTCGGCTTTTGGTAACTTTCCGAGGCCCTGGGAGCCCTTATGCCAACTGTGCCCCGTAGAGCTGTTATCCTTGCTAGAACTAGTGCTCGTGGATTTGCGGTTGAAACCAAAGAAACTACTAGACTTCTGTGCCATTTAAAAAAAATTGGTCGAGTAGAATTTACTGAAGTTTCGATGCAGTTTCGTCCTGAAATAACTGATCCTTTATATATATATTCTGTCAAACTCCTCTTTACTGTTTTCGCGTCCCTTCCAGGTAGCACGTTTAGCGCATCGCCACATGGAAGCTTCAATTCGCATTGTTGCAAAGTATTAAGCAAAATACCGTCCACACATCGCCACAAACTAGTAGCATCTACTAGTATCTGGCCGTGACAATCCAATCATTTCAATCATTGTCAGGCAAAGTTATCAAAAGCAAGAGTGCTATTGGTCAGACTGTGTCAATACTTTGCAAAATCGAATCTCTACAAGTAATCTTTCAACGGGATTGTAACAACGGGTATAGTGAGTTTGCATGCTTTAAAGGGTGGTAGCAAAGTTCACTCGTTAGGAGATTTACTTCCAAGTTGGAAGTCATAACCATCATTGCCTTTTGATACACCACAGAGAACTGTTCACGTCATTACATTTCAACACAACTATGTCAGATGGTCGACTTAAGCACACGATCCGCGATTCCGACGTTCTCCAGTGTACTATACGTGTCGTTGCTGGTCTTTGTATCAGGTGTCTATTAAGTTTTTGCGCCATTGAAAAGCCTGAGACGTCCGTCCATATGCACCACCACGAGAATTGCACCACTCAGGGGCCGAAGGGTTCAGCGCTCCACCACAGACATAGGGAGCGCCTAGTGCCACGGCTAGTGGGTCATTCTCGTTTCTTTGCATGTTGCCAGTTAGCCCGATGGTTCGTCTAGGTCCTGTTTCAAAGGCGGAATCCCCAGATGCAAGCAAGAAGGCAAAAGGCTAAGTTGGCGTTGCTAAGGAAGAAACTTGCGAAACGCAGCGGATGGAGGGTACCAGCAACGAGAAATAGACCGGAATGGAAGAGAGAAATAATAGTGGATGGTGGCATGGCTTTGCCTGTGTACGTGAAGATAAAGAATACATTAGAGGTGTGGATGGATAATGCTACGTGTAGACGTGAGGTGAGGGAGTGAGGAAAAATTACTGAGTAGTGCTTTTGATCAAGCCCATATGGATGGCAAGAATGAATCAAATATTACCGTCCAAATACGTAAAAAGTATCTATGCTAGCCTTCTGACTTTTGGCCAGTGTTTTTCACTTTTGTCATGATGATGGCGAAACTATCCCTGGAGTAGGAGTCGCGACTGGGTCCGCTTCCGGGAGAGCTTCGCCTTGTATACCAGGAGAGTCTGTTCCGTCGGGTGAAGGTCGCGGATCATCGTCGTCGCCATCATCTGCCATAATTTCTGTGAAAATAACGCATAACCAGTCAGGATTCAACACCGTTAGACAGAAAATCGACAAAGACAAAAGACATACCTTCGCCATACACCTCGGGGTGTTTCCTGAAACAATCCTGCATAGTTTTGAATAATTCGACACAATTAATTCCCTTTGGCTCGTCCTGACTGTAGACGAAACATGAGAATGCGTCTCGGAATTCTTGACCGCATGGTCCGTGTGCCATCCCTCCGAGGCATGGACAGTCCCAATTAATCTCGCCGGTTTCGGGGTTGAATGCTCCGCCGGCTTCGTTACCATTTTCACTATCGGATTCACCCAAAGAGTCCGTATTGGGAGAAGTGGGGGAGGTGTCGGACCTGGCCTCATCTTCTTTGACCTGTGGTAGTTCTTCTGGCTTCGGCTCTTGTGTTTCCGCCTGCTCGGCTTTCTTCAAATTCTGTCTAGGCTTTGTCTTCAGACCTACAACCGGACGCGCGTGAGCTCGCTTAGGAAGAAGTTAAAGAAATTAGCTTGAAGCATGCCTTCAGCGGAGTCTAATCGGACTACATTTGCGAATGCCAGCGAAGCCGAGAGCGTCAGTGCACCTAGCGCAACTGGCACCCATTTGTACCGCTCAGTTGAACGCGTGCGCGTCGCATAAGCTGCTCTTCGAACATACGATCCCGACGCACCTATACGATGGATGCCTCCGGACTGTCGTAATGCGGCGCGAAGCGAGGAGAGCATTGGACGATGAAAGTGCTCACTACTGGGTCGCTGACGGGAGAGGAGAAAAGTCGAGCACGTTATTCAGCGGGTGTATTACATAAATTAATGATCGTCATGACGCGAGTCCGAGACTCAGTCATCAAGGACACTGGTACTGCAATGCTTTTTATTCTTCTCTTATCCTATCGCAACACATTCTTTTTGTAACACTAAAAGCATGTCTGACTAACATCAAGGATATATTGAAATCTATGAAAAGCCGTAGGTATTCAGCTCGGGCATCTCGCCCGCCTCCTTATCTTGGACACTGCCGCGCCTATCCATTGCTGTTTGCCAATCTACACTCTCACTATACCTCTCAACGTTCTTGAGAGCTGCCCAGCTGGTTTTATTACCGAGATCACCTTTACTAAACATAGCTTGTGAAAGAAACTGCCCTTCTGCGTGCTGATATTCGGCAGTAGGAACACTTCTTGCAACTTAGAGAAAGTTAGTGGATTTCAGAAAAGGACGAAAAGTATGAGACGTACCAACAGCTTGTACTCCACCGTCACTTGTCTTTCTCCAATACAGGTCATAACCTTGGTCAGGGTAAGTGGCGGTAAGTTCTGAAAGCCAACAATCTGATTGTAAGTACACATTCTGGAGCAGTATAGATGAACACCGAACTTCTTGTCAACTCGTTGTACTCTGTTTGTGGAAGCTTTCTATCAGGTCCCTGATGCCAGCCGTTCTTCTTCGAACTGCTGCCACCTTTCACAGTGCCACCCACAGAACTTTCTGAGGAACTTTGTCTCACTCTATTCCAAAGATCAGTAGTTGTTCTTGAGAGTGTCCCCTTTCCCTTCTTATCATGTGACATTCTGGTGGATGTATGCTTTCTATTGATACAATTTCCTTCAATACTTGGGCCTATTTATCTTTTCAAGCGATCTTCCATTGCTACTTGCTATTAACACACGGTCTTGTACAAAGTTGAGAAGTTGTTGCCACATTTTGATTTCACACTGTTATTAATACAAACTTCAAAGTGCTAAACCAAATGTCCACTTATTCATTACAGCATATTGGCAATATCTTGTACATTGTGGTAGACTAACAAACGCTATCCTGCATATTGAGATAATGAGATAGGAAGACATTACTAATAAGTTCAAAGTATAACTTTGCTGTTTTAGTTATACATTATGGAGGAAAGATTTAACTCTTAGAGCAAAGTCGGACCATGAGTGCCACCCTAAACTTTAGTAGTTCCTCCATTAGGAATGTTCCTAGTATGCAAACTATAATAATGACCACCTAATCAACAACTTTGATGAGATTGGGCACAAGACAATGTCTTTGCCCACAGTAATATTACTGTACACAATTTCAGATTGAGCTGTTACCTAAAGTTGGTAGTGTTAAAAAATGCTCTAACTTGTTTCACTGTTTGATGCCAACAGCTTTGAGTATTGACAATAGAAATAGTATAAAACTCTCTCTGGAAATACATTAGCAAGCCTCTATATTCAAAAGGCAAACTCTATTATAAGTACAGAACTATACAGTCAGGCATGTAATGAGTAAAGTATAGACCTATCTGTAATATTGTACAAAAATGATTGTGTTTTCTCATATATTGTTTAAGTAATAGTTTTTACAGAGAAATAAGTCTACCTGCCAAGTATAAATATTTAATATAGAGTTAGAAAGACTCTTTATCTTATGTAGTCTTTTAGAAATGGTATCATTAATAGTAGTCAATTTTAAATATTCACACCTATATAAAGTTAACTACTAATCTATAAGTTATTCCTTTACTGTATTTAGTTATGTATAAAAATATTTTTAAAGACTAAAATCTTGTTAGTACTAGTATAACCAGTATAATAATTGTAGTATTAAATATAAATAACTTGAGATACAAATTATTCACAAGAAATTAAACATTTATTATGGAGTGTTTCTCAATTTTCATTTTTGGCTTATTTAATATAAATGATGGTGCAATCTTCTTTAATTCATTAAGGAGTGCTATGAGTGCCTCTATTTTTTTGTTATTACTTACAGTAATAAATAGGCAGAAGTCAGTTATTTCTATAAATTTGAGAGTCTTTTCTAACATTCACATTTATTGATCTTAATATTAAAAGATAATCTAAATTCTCAAACCTACAGTATTGAAAAAAGTAGTTCTTTCACAAACTCACAAGGTGTTAAATAATATATATATATTTCATGTGACTTTGACACAGCTGTACATTGTGTGCCGCTTCCAGGATCTCATGACATCGTGTGTAGACCGTAAAGAAGTGATATAACTGACCAGAGAGGAGAACATCCTACTTACATGTGCTATACCTTAGTATAAGAGCATGATGACCATTATGGAGGGAGGCTAGTAGTCATGAACCATTCTTGACAACCTGAAGTTAATCCTTATCTTCACACACACATATGCACTGTCATGTTCAATTATTTTAAAAAAATGACGTCGAGCCAGTATCAAGGGATCACTGGAATTATATTTATTAGTATCCTTGAAATTTATGTTAAGCCGTGAGTGTCCAGATCGGGCATATCTCCCGCCGCATTATTTGCAACGCTGCCGCGCCTAGCCATCATTGCTTCCCAATCCGCGTCTTCACCATACTGCTCAACATTCATAAGAGCACCCCAGTTGGATTTATTACCGAAATCTCCCTTGCCAAATGTTACTTTCGTAAGAGCTTCACCTTGTGATTGTTGATATTCTCCGGCAGGTGCACTCTTTGCAACTTAGAAAGTGTTACTATTAGATTTCGAAAGGGATGAAATGGATAAGGCATACCGATGGCTTCTACCCCACCGTCATCCGTCTTTCTCCAATACAGATCATAACCCTCGCCGTTACGATGGGTATTAAGTGCTGCACGCCAAAGATTCAGGCAATCAGATTTCCCATCCCAGACTGACTCGGAGTTACAAGAATATCGAACCTGCCATCAACGCGCCATACTCCTTTCGAGGCAGCTTTCCACGATCGCTAGAAGCCTTGTGCCAACTGTGGCCCTTAGAGCTTCCGCCCGTACTCTCGGATGTAGTTTTTGTGGAGCTGCGTTTAAAACCAAACTTGCTTGACATACTACCGGGCTTCCTGTCTTTCTGCGACTTTCTGTGAACGCGGACACGGGGTAACTATACTATTGATGCAGTTTCATCTTCAATTTTCGACACTTTTAAACTTGCTGTCTGGCTTCTCATTTGCTAATCATTATCACCATTAGTCATCAAGTTTTGATCTTTTTTTATGCCATCATTGCAACATTTCAATTTCGACACACATAAGTGCAAATTTCTCAGCCAATACACGTTATCATTGTTATCATTTATCACTCGCTAATAGTATCTACCCTGCTCTGGGAGTCAAATTATTCGTGGCAAAGCAAAGCGCAGTACGTACCTTACTGATCGGATCAGATCACTACTGTGCAAATCTAACATACACAGACTACTAGTAGGATATATTATCATACAATTTATGTATCTATCATAGACTAAATTAAATGGGTATAAGCAAGGTGGTGCGCCACCAGCACCCGAAACACTGTTTCCTTACCAGAATTCCCTCGTGCAATGTAACATATGCAATGCGGAACTATCACCATGTTTTCGAGGTGCCACCGATCCTGCCACGCCTTCTCAAAGTATGCAACTCGCTTCATCACTCTCCCAACTGCATACAAGCATACAGAATCCGCGGGCTGGGAACATACAGTATCCTTTCTATTTTTATCAGCTTTTAATTCTACAATTCTACATGACTTTCTATAATCCTGCATTTCTTTCGGCGTCCTTTGCCACATCCCGATCATGAACGCCCTTCCTCTGCAAAATCTGCCTCACCGTTTCTCCATCCTCTCGCCAGCTTGGCCTGGCTAAATCGAACCCCTCGCCAACCCTGGCGTAACCTACGCCACCAATGCGAGCGATAGCACGTAAGGCTGCCGTGTCCACAGTAATCTCGTCCTGGGAAAGGACAGCATGACGAATATGTGCGCGGCGGATACGTCCTAAGATTACGGTTGTTGATGGCGAAGTACTGCTTCCGTCTGGCAGGACTGCGGAAGGCGCAATGTCTAGAAAGTGGAAGAGCTATGAGATGCGGCATAATGCGTAGACGTCATTAATTATAGCAGACTGGATATAGGACAAAATTGACTGTGTACCTCACACTCGAAGCTGACAGCACTTTCTCGAACACGAGGAGGCTTTACGACGTCCTTTGAGAAAATCACGTTTAATGGCGTTCTCGCATAATGATGATAGATGCCACATACGCTCTGTAGTGGTGTCAGTCCGCTTATGGCAAACTCGTCGACCTCGGGAGGTGCATTTATAGATGTGGCGTTCGCAGCTTCGATGAATCTGTGATTTTTTGCATGCATGGTTAGCATCAATAAAATGCAATATCGACTTTGTACATATCCGAGGGACTTACGGTTCGCTGATGATATTAACTGTAAACTCCTTAGTAATCTTGATATTTTCCCTAGTGTCTTTGACGCCCTTTGATGGTAGAGTGAAGGAAACGCTGACTAGCGGAGGATTATGTGATACCTAGAATCTGCGGCTAAGAATTTTGCGTCTTCATTGGTAGCAGCATACGCGTACCAGAGAAAAGTAACTACAAAAGAGTTCGCTTATTGATCTAAGTCACAGTACAATGCCTTTACAAACACACCTGAAAGGAGCGAGATTGGGCATGCCTGAATCCGACAGTGTTGCCACAAATGCAATCGGTCGAGGTACAATTGCAGATATCAACATCTTGTACACAAGCCTTCATTGTCCAGAATCCAAACAAAAACCATAGTAGTCGGTCATCTTCGCCACATTGCATGACTCGAGTCTGAACTCGTGTAGGGGTGGACTCACGGCTTCTCCATCTCATCCACGTTCATTGTCTTCCACCCTGATTCCTCGTTCTTCTTCCACTCTGCACCGAGTTTCGTTTCCACTCGTAGACCATCACCAAATTGCCAGCTCTCATCTGGCGGATGTGTCTTGCGGAATGCAGGCGAGGTGTTGAAAAGAGGGAGTGCATCCGAAGTCGAGTCAGGCATATCAGACGTGTGAGTGGGAGAAAGGACGATGACAGAGAATTGCCAGCAGGCACGTCATCTCGACTTTGAAAGAACTATTCACAGCATGCAGAAACAGCCTGTCCATCTGGGAGTTACTTCCTTGCGTGAGACAGCGACAAACAAAACAGTAAGTTGGCAATTGGTAAGTACTAGCTCCCGATGCTCCAGTATTGCAGCATATCAAACGAGATGCGTTTAACTGGTCTACTGTGAGTGCCAGTTGAAAGTAAATGTTGCAAAGAACCTGTCGGTAATCAAGAATCAAGTCAGGTGACGCGCGATCGGCTAGTCCGACTCTCAGACTGAGAGACTCACCATCAGGTTTGCTCGCTTTTCGACCTTCGTCCACTAACTAATCCTGTTCAATAATTACAAGCGTATACAATCAGGACTACCTATGCATTTGTGACAGGTTACACCTGGTTTTCATTAGCGAAAGAGATAAAAGTCAACAGCTTTCTCAATTCTGTTAACCCTTAGCCTTGATCTTAGCCTTCTGCTATCGCTTTTAAAATAGAAACATACTCTGGCTTGTAGAGGCTCCTGAGAATCATCTATAGACAAGTACAGATTTCAGCTAGTACCTAGTCATAACATAATGCTGTGACTGTTTACAGATGTCCTGCTAGGCAAAGGTTCCAAAAGAGCTGTAAATGTATCAGGTACCTTTTCGTTGAAGCTAGTGGCTTGTCTGACTCAGATAATTAATTCAAGCATATCTGTCCAAGACGTCTAGATATTTCCTTTGCTACAAAATGTGACTAATCTGCGCGTGCTCTCATTCTACAAGACACATTGTCAACACTAGTATTACTTATGCAAATTTCAGTGTGGCAAACTTGGTAATTTTGTAGTCACAAGGTCAATAACATACATATTTCTTGTGCCATTTGTACTATTATGTAATATGTACAGTGTACTGTACAAATGCACATTGCCAAGCCATTTGGGCTATTTGTACTACTGTAACTGTACAAGTGTAATATAACCAATTCAGGAAGTTATATGATTTACTTTGCTTAGGCTAGGGGTATGTGCCACATAATGCACGTGCAAAGGTACTGAAAAAACTGTCAGCTTGGAGAGGATAAATTAGAGGACTACGGACCAGAAACTCCCAGAATTTCATTGCACATCCATCATCAAATAATCCAGAGTACACATAACCAACATATGACAGGCAGTTGGAAAAAAGTATCCAATGGTGGCTCACAAGCTAGAGGGGGTCAGGCAGACTTTCCGGAAGATAGGTACAACAAGCTCAAAGAAAGTGAGCAAGATTAGTTACTAACACTATTGATTCATTGCCTCTGTACCTCTTTACAGTAATTGAATAATCACTAACAAATTATATTGTTGCTCTATACTATGTGACAGGTTTGCCCAATGGACATGATCTCTGGATCTTCCGACATGGCAAAGGAGGCTTTGTTACAGGTATGTATCTAAGTCCAACCATACAGCTGAGCTCTCACTCTTGTTGAGATACTTACCAGTTTTTTTTAATAGTTGCAAAGGAAGCTCCTATATACAACCCTCTGAGAAGCGCAGACTCCGTGAACGAAGATGAAATTGTGGGTTTCTCTGATTCTATACTAAACGAGGACAGAGTCTGGAGTGAACTAGACGAGCTTTGCAAGAAAACAGCATCTAACAACTGAAGTAACTTTGGAAAGTAGCTGATATATATTTGAATGCTAAAGTTGTATTCCAATCGAGTTTAGAGTATCTCTGATATAGTGGAATTGCTCTATACAAAACTCATTGTAAATTGACATATGCTAATTTCATCATGTGGACTGGTAAGAATCAAGCTAGACTAGCACCTTTATTGATTGGCCAAATCGGTTTAATTGACTGTACACACGTATTGTAAGTATTAGATTATATTACAAGGGAGGGTAAGCCTAGTTCACAGTATAAATCTGTGTTACTGATACACTATTTATGTTGGAAATTAGTAGAGAAAGATGGTAAATGTAGAATGAATGAAAATAACAAACAGGACAATAGGATACAATAGTGTAATGGATATTAAGGGCTTAATTAATACTAATGCATGCTTTCCTGTGAAGATAAGAGGAATGTGGCTTGATTTCCTACTTCAACTCTCTTTTCTCATTTACAGTAACAATTTCAATGCAGACATGAAGAGCTTCAGATTCCTCTTACTATACATCTTAGTTGAAACTACTTTAGAGAGTGAAGACTAATTTCTAGGGGTTGTGTAAGATTGTTGCACTGCTTATACATCTAATGGTTGCAAGCTATATCATCGCTATGGCTGAACATACTCGACTTTCATCAAGAATGGACGATCCGACAAGAAAAGGACATATGATGCAACAGCTGCTACAGTTGTTCTCCACGCGTTGCAGTAAGTATAACCAATTTCCAATCAACTTCATGCTTGCTATTTCACTAGTTGCTGTCTCCTGTGGCAATAGTAAAAAATGCAAACTGTTTAGAAATAGTGGTCTGGAAGCGGAAATACTTCATGCAGTAATCGTTCTATTAGAGTGCCATTAACTCTCGATATCAACGGCTATAACATACGACTTCGTCAATCATCGACTTGCCTTCCACCCTTTTTCATCAGTTCTCGAATGGTGCCCTCCTCCTTCCTCCAACTCGGCCGAGGAATCTCGAACCCTTCACCAATCCGTGCATACGCAGTTCCACCTAACCTCGACACAGCGCGTAAAGCTGCAGTGTCAACTTGCAGACTGTCGGAGGCGAGGACGGCATTCCGGACATGTGCACGGCGGATCCGGCCGAGGACGAGGGAGTTGGTTGCGTCGGGAAGGCTTGGTCCAGTTGAAGAGGGAGAGATGTCGAGAAAGTGGAAGAGCTAGAAATGTGCAAAGGTTAGGATTGTAGGAGTGAAGGATGATTGTGGAGAGAACGGACCTCGCATTCAAAGCTTACGGCGCTTTCGCGTACACGAGGTGGTTTCACTACATCCTATCATTAGCATAGAATGTAAATATATTCACATTTAAATTTTGAGAGAAACGCACGCTTGGCTCCTGGGTTAGTCCACTGACTATCCATTCATCAACGTCAGCTGGAGCTTCAACCGAAGCCGAATTTGCGGCTTCAACAAACCTGTCCGACACGAATTTCAGCAGAATGGTAATTGGAATGACTTAAATGGGTACTTACGGTTCACTGATGATGTTGACCGTAAACTCCTTGGTGGCTTTAATGTTTTCCCGAGTATCTTTGGGCCGATTTGCGGGCAGGGTGAAGGATACGCTGACCAATGGTGGATTATGTGCTACCTGTCCTTTTTGCTCAGGACAAATATTTTTTAAGAAATGATGTATTATGACTTACCAAAGAGAAATAACTACATCCAGCACGTCAGCCAAACACTTCGGTATCAAACGATTAAAATATGGGCCACCTGAATGGAGCAAGATTTGGGACGCCTGTCTCTGAGATGGTCGAGACAAATGCAATAGGCCGGGGGACAATGGCAGAGGTCAACATCTTGTAGATTAGCCTTCCGTAAATAAAACATCAGTAAAAACAAATACAAAACAAACAAACAAATTATTGTGGCACTTACGGCTTCTCCATCTCAGCAAAGTTCATTGTCTTCCACCCAGCTTTCTCGTCTTTCTTCCATCTTGCACCAAGCTCAGTTGTTGTTCGCATACCATCCCCGAGTTTCCATTCTTCATCTGGGTGTTGAGTAACATGGAAGGCAGGAGCAGTGTTGAATGGTGGACGCGTATCGCTTTGCCGAGTGGCAGACGCTGTTGAGAACGCTCTTGCTCTGTTCTGTGCAATAACCCCCGTTGCGCTAGTCAACACCCGCAAACACCTCGAAGTCATTCGAACGCAGCGTACGTATGTCCGTCGTTGAGTAAGGATGAGAAAGCAAAGAGGAGGGAATACGGTCCGTCGTTCACCGCTACATCTTTTTAACCGCAGCGTTAATGCGTTCACTGCGATGTCATCCTCAGTCTCACACTCACGTCGACGAACGTAGACCCAGAATTGCAAGCTCCTTTTGTTCATTTATTGAGAAATATTTCAAGGTAAGCATTTACTGCAATAAACTCTGTTTTAGCCACAATTGACGGTCAACGTGTCCCGTGCAAGTCGATCCTCTCAATTTACTCCTGACGTGCCAGGACCTTGGCATCATTCTTAAGGACCCCTGGGCAAGTAGTGAATATCCTTGCAGCAACCTCCCTCGTACACCATCTGAGTAGGCCCTCTGCCTCACATCCAGAGCGACGAACATGGACCCAGAACTGCAAGGCTCGTATGCATACACGGACCCTCTGAAGGGAGTGTACTATGGACCTGGTTGTTTGAAGACCGCATTGCCGAAATTGTTATCAACGCTCGGAGGAAAGAAAGCACTCGTCGTCACTGGTCGCAGCTTACATACGAAGGTAGGCAGACACTGATACCCTATCTTTCACTATTCACGCACACACACACACTTATAGACCGACGTTGTACGCAAAGTCGAAGATGTCCTCAAGTCACAAAATGCGTATGGAGAAACATTCTGGGAGATCGGAGAACATGCGCCTGTTGCAGGAATCAACGCAGGAATAGATCTCTTCGCTCGAGTTGGTGCGGACATCATTGTAAGCGTCGGAGGTGGCAGCCCGATCGACGCCGCCAAAGCGATTGTATATCGTCTTCATGAACGTGATCTGAGCAAGCGATTCCTCCCGCATATCGCGATCCCGACAACATTAAGTGCTGCAGAATATACGGTTCGTAATTTCATGTATTTATGTATTATTTGGCATTCATCGATATCTCACCCTGTCCCAACCAGGTCGGTGCAGGGTACACGAATGAAAAGGGAGAAAAGGTCGCTGTATCAGATCCGGAGCTTGCACCAGCGGGAATCATCCTTGATGCAGAGCTCACTCTCGCGACTCCTGAACGCCTATGGTCAGTTCAAACGAATGTCTCATCAATTATTTATCTCATAATCAATACTAGGCTCTCAACTGGTATGCGCGCAGTGGACCATGCAGTCGGTACGTAATATCGGCATAAAGCGAATTATATCCTAACATTGCGCACAACAGAAAACCTGTACAGACGAGGTGTACCCTACCCTCTCAAAGTCCTCTGCTATGATGCTCTCGCAGCATTCTTCATGCATCTCCCAGCATCCAAATCTGACCCTTCCAACATTGAAATCCGTCAAAAGCTTCAAATCGCCTCATGGATGAGTCTCTGGCCGCTCAAGCAGGAAGGATACGCCCCGGTTGGACTCTCACATGCTCTAGGACACCGACTAGGAGCGAAATACGGTATCCCGCATGGAATCACTTCATGTCTTACCCTCGCTCCGGTCGTAGCCCTCCAAGCACGTTTCGCAGCACCAGAACATAAACGCGCGCTGGCAAGAGCTGCAGGTCACCTCTGTATTGAGTCTGCTGGAAGTGAAGATGCAGATATTCAATTGCTAGCGCACGCGGTTGAGCATTTGGTTATCAACCTCGGGCTGAAGACGGATTTGAAGGCTTGTGGTGTGCCAAGGGAGGATTTACCGACTATTGCGGAGGGCGCATTGAAGAGCAGGGAGGAGCCCCTATTTGGTGAGGTCGTGAAGATCCTTGAGAGCCTCTATCCGGATTAGCTTCCGAGCCGACAAGATATCAGAAATAAATTGTATTGTAAAGTCGAGTCTGTAAATGTATTGTATATTGCTGCGTAGCCTTGCAGCAGAAATACAGAATGGCAAGACATTGTGATAATGGTTTCCTGTTCTGTTGTACAACTTGTTTGCCAACGACACACACATTCAGAAATTCACTTAGTACGAGCCAAAGAAATGTACCCCTCCTGTTCTGCACAAGTCAATCTACCGGCTCCCTCTCATGACTCTTATAAGCCTGCAGATACGCCTCCGGATCTTCCAGTGTACCTTCAAATGGCTTGCTCAGGTCTTCGATGCTAGCACCATGCCTCTGGAGGAGTTCGAGTCTCCTCTGTGTTGCGGGGCGTGAGCGGTTCACACTGTACAGTTTGACGCGGTGGCACGACGATGTGACATGGAGATCCCAGCTAGAATAGAAATTTCAGTAGGTTCGGGTGGGGATGAGCGTGGAATGAAAGGGCTTACTTCCAAGCAGACCTGACGAATGTCGGTTGTGTGTTATTCGACGAGTCCCATGTGCGAACGCAGAACTCAAGCCATCCTTCTGCGTCGACAGGGAGCTCGACATGCCAGAGACGCCAGGCGTGGTAGTGCTGTAGTATCAAGCGTTAGCTTTCTACATTGACTTGACAGACACGTTGATGCGGATGCACCTTCTTCGTAAGGTTTTCTTCAGGCACTGCGTACCAGACGTGGCCACTAAACAACTAGAATGAATTGAGGATGGAGAAGGATATTGGCAAACTGACCCGTCCGGAGAAACTTCGACACGTTCAACCCAGTTGCCTCCTCCGCTGTACGCCCAACCGTCGATTTTGATCTTCCCATCGTGCACGATAACTTGCTTGTCCGACGGATGCATGATCGCGCTCCTACACAAATCACATCAACTATCCGTCTATCCAAGTCGAATGGAAAAATTAAAGGGTAAGCGGATAAGACACGTACGAAACAGGCATATTCTGAATCGAGAACCCATTCGAATACATCGCATTCTGCTTCCCAATTTGACTTGTATAATATAAATACTCTTGTCTCTGTACGGGACCCATACTCGGCTCTGTCAGTGCGTTGATACGATACACCCATTTGGCACTACGTGCGCCGATAAAGCCTGCTACAACGACTCGAAGAGGATATCCATGAATCTTTGGGAGAGGCTGGCCATTCATGGACCATGCGAGGAGGACTTCTTCACCCCCATTTGCGCGTACTTTGCGATAGGGCGCGGAGACTGCGTAGTTGTATACTGTGCCTTTCCTATTAGACGATTAAGACTTTTAGGCAAGAAGATTGAAGGGAACGAGTGAAGAGATACTTGAAATAGGTATCAGCACCGATAAATTCGAGGTGTTTGCACTCCGGTTTGACGCCACCACATGCAACTTTGAGAACTTTCTTTAGTGGGACACCGCGATACACCGCTGTACCGCTAGAAAATAGTCCCTGTCAGCTTTAATTCATGTATAAATGATGATATCATGCTTACATAGCGCCTTCACCCCATGGTGCATTAATCAATTCGTCTCCATCACCTGGGTACTCCCCGATTTGTTCGATACGACGTGTGCCACTGCATTGCAACGTCACGGTCACTTCTTTCTGACTGAGTGGATGTTAATGAGCATGATATTAACCGGCATGATATTAACCAGCAAGTGAGAACGATGAAGCAAAGAACGACTTACGGAAACTTGTTTGGATCTTGCAAGTCTTTGAAGCTGATCTTGACCGGTTTGTTCACTAGTCCACCAATCTCGAGCTCGTAATCGTCTGCGTCGATGTCAGGCACACCACCATGGTTCCGTATACTATTCAAGTCGTACTTGTACTTAGCACACCGTGAGACATATTCATAATGAATACACATACAAATGATACCGATTGTCCGTGATCTTCCCTTCCATCAACTGGTCTCTCGTCGTCTCGCCATTATACGGGAAATCCAACAGATGTATCAGGTCAGGTTTCTCGCGTTGGACAGTTTCCCAGCTAAAATCGACAATATGCTGGAGACCCAGCGCAGCATGATATTCTTTCCAGCGGTGGCCAACAAGGATTATATTCTTCGGCTTCCAAAGACTCTTGGGTAGGTCAACGAATTGGAATTCTATTGGCGATCGCCAGAGAGGGGGCAGGCCTAAACGTCCTACACACGATAGGTGAAATTGAGAAGGGACGAACCGGGGATTGGAGTGAAGTTCTTTGTCTTTAGAATCTCCTGCGCCGCCTTCTTCCTCTCTGGTGCAAGCTCCCACTCAACGTATCCGCGCCATCCACGTCTCTCCTCAGGGAAAAGCTGGCTTAGTGGTTTACCCTCGAAGGTCTCCTCTTTCTCTCCAGTCTGTATACCCAGGGACCTCTTCGTCGTCGGGGAGTCAGGAGGCTGGAAGAGCGAGGACCTCGGGGTGAAGGAAGTTGAAATCGCACTGAGTACTTCTGTCATCGTTCAAGGTGCCCGTGACACAGTAGAGGGGATGCAGTAGAGTATCCCCTTCGCATTGTATCCAGCGCATATTTATATCGAAATGCGGGATGCGGAAACGGATACCGGGTCCTAGGTGCTCTCCAAACGTTTTCTGTCGACAGGGAAGACCTGGAGCTATTAAGACGGAAATGACCTAACAAATGAACACATGCCATCATAATGCTCACATCCATTCAAGTATCTTAATCTTAATCTTCACCATTCGCTATTCGCCGTCCATCCCACCATGCCCTATCTCTTCCTAGTTCATTTCGCCACGCCTTCTAGGCTTCGGAACTTCTTGATACTCACGCTGACCGTACTTCAACGCAAACCTAGCCTATCTAGCCCGCTCGCCTCGTATCAATTGTAATCATAGGCCACTAGTTCAATAAGTTCATTGAATGCCTAGGACTGGAAGATCCGTAGCATTTTTGATTTAGGTGGAAGTGATGCAACTTTGGAGACTGGTGAGAGTTCGTCACGAGTACGTTCTAATCTTGTCTTTATATCGATATCGTTCGTCATCGCATCCAAGCGGATAAACGGTTCTAAATAAGTTAAGCAACAATTAGTGAGTAGAGAACACGAAGGAAGGGTATAAACGTCTCAACCAGGAGATCCAGAAATGACCCCCGCAATATATCACGTGAGCTTTCAGGAAGGTCTGGATATCGGTGGAGGTATACCCGACGATTCAACACGCACGGACTTTAATGCATTGCTTTTAGGTGTTCAAGTGTTGTTGCAGGATCAAGAAGTACGGGATTATTTAAGTTTGACAGGTTGGACGTGTGAAGAAGCCCCGATAAATCATGTGTTCAATGGATAGATAGATACGAGCAAATGTCTTTCCATTGTGTATTGTATTAACGCGAATAATGTAACAATCTAAGTATACGCAAAGATCAGTTAAAGAAACAGACAGAGTGAAGGCTAGACGTACAGGTATACCGTGCGATCCAGATAGCAAAGAGACAAATACAAAATAAACCAAATTGACAAAAGAAAAAGAATAATCATACACAAAGCAATTTCTTCATCCTCCTCATAATCGCCCATCTTTCTCAGACCCAAAATTTGTTGTTGAGTCGTCTCGTTCTAACTCTATTCGTTCCTTCTCCTGCTCAGACGACTCAGGTACGAACTTTACCCTCACCTCAGCAATCTCCTTCCTAACCGCAATCAATGCCTCGCGAATACGAGTCTCGAGCGCCGAAGCGTCAGACACGGGTAAACTCGAGGACACGCGCACTTTTACGTCGACAAAGAGGAGAGCACCTGCGCGCATTGCGCGGAGCTCGTCTATACCTTTCAATACCCCACCTTCTTCTAGTAATGGGACAAGAGCATTCTCAAGTGATCTTCGTGTACGCGAAGAGACACTTGCGTCTGTAAGTTCTCCGAACGCACCCATGAATAACCCTGCGCCTTGTTTAAGGATTACCATCGCAACGAGTAGACCTCCGAGTGGGTCGAGAGGGAGTGCAGGGAAGGCCCAAGTTCCGAGGATAGCTACGAGTGCTACTGCACTCGTATATGCGTCTGCTCGGTGATGTATCGCGTTGGCGAGGAGGACACCCGAGTTCTCAGCTGTAGCGACGCGTTTCGTAATTCGGTAGAGCCATTCTTTAATAATGACACTCGCCAAGGCAAACCACGCCGCGTTTGGGTCTAACGCGAGTTCTGCACCATGGATGTGTGCGTGGGAGTGAGCGGAAGGCACGGCGGTGGCGACTGTCTGCGCGACCTCTGTGACGTTCTGCACTAGGACTTGAGCAGGGCCGGGTGGGAGTGATGCAGCTGTTTCGACGAGGTGGTGCGTGAGGAGTGTGAATGAGTGTACCCCGATACCGAGTGCACCGCCGATGAGGATGAGCGCGACTGTTGTTGTTCCGAGTGTCTCGAATTTGCCGAAGCCGTAGGGGTATTTGAGCGTCGGTGTGCGTCGGGAGAAACGCCAAGCGAAGAGAGTGACTAAGTCTCCCAGCAGATCTACGGACACGTCAATCATGAAATAAAATTAGACGTGTTTCTCATGAATAAATAAAATGAATATGGAATTTTACGAACCGCTTGCAGAATGCCCGGCCTCGGCGAGTAATGCAGCAGAGTTCATGTACCATCCTGCAGCACCCTTGGCACCCGTAAGCCCGACGTTTACAACCAGACCAAGAAGTGTGATACGACTTCCGCGATCGCCTTTGCCTTGTAAAGCTTGCATAATGCCCTCGACGTCTTGATGTGGTTCATCATCGCGAGAGTGCGAATGGCTCCCGAACACAGAATGCGAATGCGAATGAGAGTGCGAGTTTGAGTGAGAATGTGAATGCGAGTGGACAGAGGAATGTGAATGTGAGTCGTCATCCGACTCGTCCGAGGTTGAGGAAGCAGACGAAGCAGGCAGGGGTTTCGACCTCGAACTTGACAAATGCCTAATCGTCATCGTCTGGCCCCGTTTCCTCGGTGCAACAAGCGGAAGTATAGGAAGTTGCTGTGAAGAGGAAGAAGAGAGACCAAGTCGTCTAAGAGCAGACGAAAGGCCAAATGAAACGAAGCGCGTCGTCGTCACGGTGGAAGTGTTCGTGGAAGCAGCCGCCAATTTGCTCGAAGAACGACAGTACGGAAACTGTCGAATACTAATCGTTGTACAGGCATTGGATGGCTTTATATGCGTTGAAAAATAAAAGGACCCGTTGTAGCTGCGGGGTGGGCGGCGGCCGAGCATGAAGAGCGACGCATTCGACTTTAACTGGGACCTCGCTGCGGGACGGTGAACGGCCGGCGTCGCGCAGCGTCGTTCTTTCCTTTCTTCTTGGCACTCACAACCACCTTTTCTACTTGAATTGCTCTCGCCAACCGTCCGCAGTCAAACGAATGTTATGAACGGGATGATAGAGACAATGAGGGTGCGACTGTGGTGAGACCCTCTACGTGCTTTGAAAGCTTTCTCATCCATGTGGTCCTTCACATGAATAATCCGCCTCTGAAACTAAAAATATAATGTCGTACTCGCGAATCATCTTCAAATTGCATCACCGTCGCTTTCAATCTATGAATTCTAGTTGCCAGCTCATTTTCTGCATGATTTATATCCTCGGGGGGACTTGCAATTTAGCAACAAATCGAAATTTAAAACTGCTTCAGGCCTTGGTCTTGTGGAGGCCGTCAGTAAATCATCATGACTGAGATCTGACCGACGAGGGTGCGTAGAGCTGGTGGTAGATTTTTATCAAATGCTTGTAAAGATGGAGCCAGTGCCGAAACTTTTGTTTTTGCAAATACTCGAGGAATCTCGAAATAAAATGGAAGTATTCTCAGCATAACAAATAATTAAACGACAACATTTATTAGGCATTTACTACTATAGTTTCAAGTTATACACGTTGTTCTGTGCTATACAAAACATCGTCCATTTTGCCTTCTCGTCAGTTCTCTGGTTTTGGAAGCCCAAAGGCTCTGCGCAACGTATTCCACGTTGCATTACCGAACGAAATCTTTGGTTGATAGGCACACTTATCTGTAACTGTACTCTCTGGCTCTTTATTTGCAACTGTAAATTGAACGAAATGTAGATTAGAATGGTGCTGTGTTATGATTGAGATATACACACTTGTGACTTGCAAAGTTTCAACATCTGCACACCTTACTCGTATGTACCAAAGGTCCCACCCACTTTCATCTGGGTGTTGAGCCTCCATGTCTAGTTGGTCTCATAAGACACACAACAGTTTTGAGTAATTATTGAACTGAAACACTTGCCTTTTATAAGGCTATTGTACTGCTCTCTTGGAATTGTAAAACCCTTATAACTTAGACCAGACTGCTTCACACTATGCCAATTGCCAATTGGTTCAATCTGTGGGGGGACTAGTGTGGGTAGTTTTGATACTTCCTGTGGCCTCTTTTGTTTGACAAGCTTGTGTGTAACTGGCATATTTGTGTCAATGCTTGTCTTAACAGTCTACCAGTGCTTGTAAACAGTAATAAGTGACTTTGAAGCTTTGTTTAAAGGCCTACAACTTTTTAATTGATTTATAATTAATATCTGCAAACTAACTTTGTATTATGAGATGATTAGTTCATCAACAGACAAACCACAAGACAATGACTTCATAATGTCTCAGTTAGAATACATACAATATAAGGATGAGAGACACTGAGCAGTCAATTGTCACCTCACCCCTTGTCTATGCATGCCCCCCTTAAGTTCTCCCTCTCAACAGGTTATGAGCCTTGAGCTCCCTGCATACACACATCCACTGTACACTCTAAACTCTTTACTTGCATACATTCACACACATTTGCATCATGGTTCCCCCACATATGGATACACACTGTAAACCAGCTGATGTACCTAAATACTTTGGTCAAAACATCACAATACTTAAGACCAAAGCAAACTACAAGATGTGGCACTACTACATTGTTTCTAGTGTTGCAGCTATGTGCTTCAAACACTTACTAAAGGATGAACCACAGAACAAAGCCAAGAGGGAGATGGCTAAGGCCATTCATGCATGTATAGTTAATAACATTACTGACACAATATTGGCAAACTATATGCACTTTGATACATCTATCCCTCAGTTAATGAAAGTGCTTGAAGAATGCTTTAACCCTCAGACAGCACATAAAAAGGCTATCAACAAATCAGCACTGTTTATTTGTAGAGACCATGTAAAACATTTTGGACATACATTAGACAGACTTGAGGAAGCATATGCAACTCTGTCTGCTAACAGTGATCCACCACACAACTCTACATACAAAGCAGCAATATTGCTTGCCACTCCTGAGCAATATACACACATAGTAAATACAATAATACAATCTACTGATGCCCAAAACAAAGGCAAACCAGTCAATAAACATAAGAAAGTCAAACTGAAGCAACTAATCCTTACATTGCAGAATGCCTACAATGATTACTGTGCTAAACAAGCACAAGATTCTAATGATTGGACAAAGAATAATGCACACATTAATACAATGTATAAAGCCAATAAGCAGAGGAAATTCAATCTGCCAAATCTGTTCAATCTGACAAAAGCAAAATGTTTCAATTGTAGAAAAACAGGACATTTCTCTAAGGAATGCTACAAACCTCCTACTGAAGCTACAAAGCTTGCATGCACCAAACATCAGGCTAACATTGTGCATAAAACAAATCAAACTGTGGAAAACACAACAAACACATTTATTATTGAAAACCCAAACAAAAACAATGTTGAATTAAAAGAAGGCAATGTTGAAATGAACAATAATGCCTACACTCTTATTCCAAGCAACCAGGACAAACAATTCAAACAATATGCTTCCTGGGTATGTACCAATGTATTTACAAATACAATCATAGCTAACAAGAAATCCTATATGCAAACAATGGATTTACTCAATTCCAGTGTATCAATACATGCTACTCCTTATCTATTTTGATTAACAGATGTACACAACATAACTCCTACAATTGTAACTATTGCAAATAGGTCAACAATGACTCTTAATCAAGCTGGATCTATGTGTATTGAAATCCCAAAGAATATATGAGAAAAAAGCATCATAACATTACAAAACATCTATTACTATCCACAAATGACCTTTTCCCTCATAAGTCAAGCACTACTATGTAGGGAAGGTTATTCTTTTATGTTTACAAACAATAATTGTACTATAACATTACTATGTAACAAATACATCAGACATATACGATTGAGAAATAACTTGTATATTTTGTACAATAATCATTTATTAAAAACAATGAACGAACTATCTATTTATGATATACATAAACACCATATTTTGTTTGATGGTAATTTTATTATTGTACTATGTTTTATAGCCTTTACTTTTATTGTCTAATCCTATCCAATGAGTGATAATACTTTACTGTTGTATTTTTGTAGGATTTTCGTTGCAAATGATAATATATTGACCAAATTCGTATATATTATCAATTGTTCTGTGTGTTCTGTAATGTTTGTAATGTAGGGTATTGTAATTTAAAGCAGCATACAGTGTTCTATTATGAATATAGGTAATATGAATTGCTGCTTCAGCCCATAATATAAATGGTAATTCAGTAGATGTTAGATATGCTCTTACACCTCTAAATATAGTTTTATGAGTTTGTTCTACTATTCTGTTCTGTTGCAGAGTATGATGTACTGTTAATCTTTGTTTTGTTCCTTGTGAATCTAAATATTGTTGGAAATCTTTACTAAGGAATACAGTATTGTTATCACTTTGTAAAAGCTTTATTTTAACTCTGTACTGTGTAAATATTTTAGTTGTCCATTGTATGTATTATGTATATGCATTAGATTTTGTTTGTAATTTGAGCATTATGCACCAACAAGTAGAATTGTCTACAATCGTTAATAAGTAGTGTATGTTCTTATATGTGTGTGGTTCAATAGGACCAATGATATCAATATGAATAAGATCTCCAAATTGATTTGCAAGAGGAGATTGACATAGTTTTGGTATTGGTGTACGTTCAATATTTGCTTTTATACATTCAATACATTCTTTTTCTTTGTAGTTTGTTATTTTAGTTGATAGTACACTTGGTTGTGTCTTTAATAATCGTTTAATATAATTGTAACTTATGTGTCCAATCAATTTCTCAAAGGTAAACCTCCTCAAATTGAAGGGGAGAAAATAGACAATACAAACAACAATACAAACGAGTGTTTAATAATTAAAAATAACAAAACAGACAATAGAATAACAAGAACAGACAACAATGATACAGACAACACTGATCCTAACAAAAAAGGAAAAGCAGCAGAACCAACAGACTTAACAGACAACAAAGTTAAATTAACCAAAAAAGAAGTAGAACCTAAATTATGTTGATTGGAACAGAAACAGAAACTGACAGAATGTGCTATTGAGCTTGAACAATGTATAGAGAATAAACACATAACAAAACACATGTATGCACTTAGCAAAAAGGATGAAGATAATATTGCCATTCATTTAACAGAATTTAATGCTAAAATAAGTGAAATACAATCGGATCCAACTTCATTTTATGAAGCAATCCAATGTCCAGATTGTGATTCATGGATTGCAGCTATGAAAGACAAAATAAAACAATTAGAAAATCATAATACATGGGAAATCACAAATCCACACAATAATATTAACATCATTGGAACACAATTTGTCTATAAAATAAAGCAATACACTGATAATAGTATAGAAAAATATAAAGCACAATTAGTAGTTCAAGGAAACTATCAGATTGACAGCCTTGACTATCATACAGACAATTTATTTGCTCCTACTGCTAGACTATCTATGATACAATTAATATTAGTATGGGTAGCATCTAATAATTATGAAATACATCAGATAGATATAAAATCAGTATATCTGTATGGACAATTGACCAAAGACAAGGAAATATATGTTAAACCTCCTCCAGGTAACTTAATA